GGTTTGGTTAAGCTATATCTAGGTGCATAAGCAAATATACTACTAAAGCTATAAAACATGCAAAGAAAGGAAACTTAAAGCATATACTAGTCGACTTCCCTAGGGTGGGAGCTTGAAGTGACCTTGGTGCTATTCAAGCCACTCCCACAAGCGCTACTTCGAGTTATCCTAGAACTAAGAGGTTTAAAAATGGTCAATTACAAACCAAAATGAATGAAAACAAAGGCCAAAATACAAGAGGCCGAAAATTGACTAAGAAGAAACAATTGGAAAAGGAAAATTTTCAAGTTTTCAAGTCTTCAAGTCTTCAATTCTCCACCCCTTCATAATGAACATCCAAGGTTATCCTTTCAATGGTGTATGCACTCTTTTATTTGGTGTAATCCTCCAAAGCACCTTGAACACAATTCGGACAGCCCTTCCACTCAATCCACCAAGAGAGTGTGTGGTGTTTAGAAGCTTTCCTCACCTAGGTCAAGAAGAAACCAAAACCCAAGAGTACAAGAGGCCAAGCAAGATAAACTAAAAAGGCATAATCAACAAGGCTAAACTCAAGTGGAATTGATGAGACAAACTTAAGAGTAGAAAGAAGACACAAAACTAAAATCAAGGCACATTAAGAAAGGCAAGAACACAAAAGAATAAGTCCTAGAATGGCACTAGAATAGAATTTATCAAGTAGGCTTAAAATAAAGTAATGCACTTAACATGTTTGATTAAATGTCTCATTTGGCCATTAAGCTTGTCCAATAGTTCAAGAATAACTCCAAGTGCCAAGGTATGAAAATTGGTCCAAAACTCCAGAAGTCTAGCAAAGGTCCCCTTTTTCTTTTGTTTTTGATTCTTTTGATTTTGTTCCTTTTTGTACTTGGCTAGGGTGCGGTTTTGATGTCCCAAAAGCCCAGCCACTCCTTTTTTTTTTGAATTTATATTTATCCTTTGCTTGGGTTTTACACTTGTGTTTGTTGGTTTGATTAGCAAGTTCTTGGATTATCCTCTTAATAACTTTCAATAGCTCAATGAGACAAGATTTGAGTCTCTTTCTTAAGGTTTTAATGTGCAATATCCAGCAGCAAAAATATGCACATAAAAGTTACTTTCATACTCAAATCATCAAACACCATGTAGGCATGTCAAGTGCACAAGAAATATTCAATATTATTGGTATGCCCGAAAATTTTTCAAGTAAGAATGTTCAAAGAATTTAATCGCACATGATGTTTTAGGGATGTAGAACATGCTAGAACTACTTAGCATGCATGAATGACTCTCTAGAGTACATCAAGGACTCACGGCCATTTCATCAAACAAGTGGCATGCATGTCATTTTGTTCATTTCAAGGATGAAGCATGAATGTTTGGAATGCTTTTAAAGGTAGTTCAAAAAGAAACAAGTTTATGACTAAACCGGATGGATTATAAAATAAAAATCATCAACATACCATGCAGCCCAAAATTTTCCAGCAACTCAAATTTAAAAGAAAATGGTAAGAACCTAAATAAGAAAGCCTAAAAATGCCAAGATGATTTTCAAGGAAGATATGGTATGAATCAACACATGAAAGGAGGATGATGGATCATCAAAAATGGCAAGATGATGACACATTTAAGCACAACAATTTAGACATTAAAGAAGACACAAATGATATGACTGAAAATACCAAAGATGGAAAAGTTACCTTTGAAGAACCTAGGCTCTAGATACCACATGATGGCATCCTTGCTTGCATTGATTGAAGAGATGAGGATCAATGGCCAAGAACACCTTTGACTCCTTGGAACAAGCTCTTCAAGGGCATCTTTAATGGAGGATTGGGAGGAAATGGAGAGTGGAGTGAAGGTGTTTGATGAAAGGTTTGAGAGGAGTAATCTAGGTTTGGCTCACTCCAGGTAGTTGAAGGCCACTTCTAGGGGTTTTCTCTTAAGGTGGAGATAGGTATGGTGGTGGCCGAAAATAGCCAAGCGTGACTAAGGATGATATAAAGGCTCAAAGGCTCTCTCTATATTCAACATCCAAAGTGATTACAAGTTACATAGCCTAGGGTATTTATAGGGGAAGGAAGCATTTAGGGTTGCATTTGAGAGTGCTTGACAAAAAATTGCAAGCTAAATGCACTTCAAATGAAACCTAAATTAACCCTAGATGCTACTTGGTGGCCAAGGATGGAATCTTTGGGTTTGGTTAAGCTACATCTAGGTGCATGATAAGACCATGCATCCTAGGTGCCCTCCACTTGGGCCTAAGCTTTGCCAAGTCCAAAAACAAATCCAATGTCACAAAAAAATACGTCTAGACCTTTTTCTAACCCTAATAAAATACCCTAGCTTATAAAATAAAATCCTATAATCTAAGGCACCCCATAATACAAGGGTAAAATAGGAAATACAAGTAAAAATAAATCCTATGACTAAGGTACCCCAAAATACAAGGATAAATGGGAAATACAAGTAAAATAAATTGTATGTCTAAGTTACCCAAAATACAAGGCTAAAAACGGGAAATTAAAGAAAAGGGCAAAATAGGCATAAAAATAAATTCTATGCTAACAAGGTTTAGGAGAATGATTAATATTCTTTAGCCATGAGAAGCATGTCTCTAGGGGTGTTAGCTCCCCTATCCTCTTCCAATCTCCTAGCCATGGACCTATTGATGGGTCCCACATGAAATTCCAAGGATGGTCCTCCATCAAATCTTATCTAGTTATATCATAATATTTTCATATCAAGTTTAATTTAAACGAGATATTAGTTATACAAAAATATCAAAATCATATAGTAAGTTATTAATAAGATTCTAGTTAAATAATTTAAAATAATTAATTTTATCACATAATAATAAAGAAATAATAATAGTTAAGAAAATACATTTATACTCTTCCTATTAGAAAGAGAGGGGATGTTATAATTCTTTTCTTCCTTAAGATATCACATCTCTTCTATCAATAAAATTTAAATATAAAAATTTATTTAAAAATAGTTTTTTTATAAGCAAAATAAATTAAGGGGAGTACAAGGGGTACCCCAACCCATTACAAAATACAAAGTCACCTAAACAAAATCCAACTTATAGTCCATACAAAAGGTAATCACCAGATTGTAATGTCTACCACCATTACAAAACTAGGACCATAAAATGTCATCTAATAATCAAACAAGTTCAGTAATTAGAAAACTAGATACAAAACTATCACCATTGTGTGTACAGAATAAAAAAGAATCATTATTCCAGAAGTTAAGGCAAACACCAGGGGAAGAAAATCACGCTGAGAATGGGTAAAAAAATTACTTATCTTTGGTTTTAATCCAGTTCCAGCTACGTAGTTTGATTAATTCCACTAAATTCGTAATTGTCACCACCTTGTCTTTAAAAATGACATCATTTCTAGCAAGCCACAGAGACCAAATTGTGGCTAACCAAATCACAGACCACCTCATCCTATCTCTACCACATAAATATGGATCAAAATAAATAAGAAATTTTAAAAAATTCATATACTCTAATTAAAAAAATGTCTAAAAATCCAATCATAAAAAAAACCTCTAAATATTTTTTCACATAAATAAATATTGGTATTAATTATGTAGGAGTGCATATAAATACCTTTTTATTATAAATTAATGTCTTCCTCTTACAAAAAAAGAAAATGGGATTGATACTCAACAAATATTATCATCATTTTTAAGCAATTTAAATATATTTTTTTGTTTTATTTAGCTAACGAATAGAATTTCGTCGCTAATTTTAACTAATATTTAGTAACCGAATTCAATTCTTTTGCTAATTTTAACTAATATTTAGCGACCGAATTCAATTCCGTCGTAATTTTAACTAATATTTAGCGATCGAATTTAATTTCGTCGCTAATTTTAACTAATATTTAGCAACTGAATTCAATTTTGTCGCTAAAAAATCAAAATTTCTTATTTAATGACCGAATTTAATTTGATCGCAACGTTTTTTACAATTTAGTAGCTAGTTGGTCGCTAGTTCCATCGCAACCTTTGTGTTCATGAAACACAATCAAAAAGCGATCGAAATAGCAATGGATTTTCTAGAGACGACTTATGTTGATCGCTAAATCAGTCGCTATTTGATTATTCAGAATTGATCGCTAAATCAGTTTCTAAATAGCGACTGATAAATTTCGGTCGCTAATTTCAGTCGTTATTTTACAATTTTCTTGTAGTGGCATATGTTGATTTACTTTAGAAAACATTAGTTTTATGTCCTTGCAGTTTCTTTGGTTATGTTATTTTGTCAAGTTAAAAATATAATACTTTCTACCTGAACACGTTTGGTTTTATTTATAAAGAATTATGTTATTCAGTTTCTATTATATTTATATGTTATGATATGCTAGGTAAAGGGTTTCAAATGGTATTAGAGCAAGTCTTCTTTCCTAGTATGGTGTGTTTTGGGGATGAACAAAGTGGAAATTGGTGGATTTGTAGCAACCTAGACACACAAGAATGAGAGAGATCTAGAGATTTGTGCGAGTGTGGGATTATACGGTTGAAAATGACTTAAAAGATCTAATTTGGACAACTTATACCAATAAGATTCATCTATTTTTGGGTAACTCATTACATAAGAACTCCGCAGTTAAATTTGTTTAACTTAGAGTGATTTAAGGACAAATAATTTTTAGAAAGTTTCTCAAAAAGTATACCAGTGGAGACAAATTCCTAACGATTGTATCATAAAAACTTGTTCAAGTTATTTGATCCCAGTTAAGATTATAGGGTCCACTAAACTGAATTAAACAACTCCATTATTATTCTAATTGGATGTTCTTAAATAGTGCGTTACCACCAGCCCCCTCTATGAATAATTTCTCTTTAATTTTCCTATAACCACGAGAATTGTGGACATGTAAATATAATTCTGTTGATTGCTAAATCATCAGCACAAGATTATCAACTTGCACAGCCAAATACTTGACATATATCTTTTAAATATTGTCTATGCACTAAAGCAAATCCATATAGTGGAGTTCACCATGGAGGGAAAACTTCTAAATCTGAGATCATCATATTCCTTTATTTTTCTGCTATTTCTAAGCTTCAAGTCACTTAATACAAAGGCACAATCGCCAAACTATGTGGGAGACGATTGCGAATACAGCACCTCAAAACCTCTCAGCACCGCATACCAAACCAACCTTAAAAGCGTCCTCTCATGGCTATCAACAGATGCAGCCACAAGCAAAGGTTATAACCACAACAGCTTTGGCAACAACACCCCTGGAGATGCTGCTGTGTATGGCCTCTATGATTGCCGTGGTGATGTTGCTGGATACTTTTGTCAATTCTGTGTCTCTACTGCTTCTAGAGAAGTTCTTCAGCGCTGCCCCAATAGAGTATCTGCTATTATATGGTATGATTTCTGCATCCTAAGGTACTCTAATGAGAACTTCTTTGGGAATGTCACAGTAGACCCATCATGGCATGCTGTTGGGACCAAAAATGTCTCTAGTGCACAAGAGATTCAGAAAGGTGAGGATTTTATGAGAAGTTTGATCAGAAAAGCAACTGTGGAGACCAACCAGTTGTACTATATGGATGGTTTCAACTTGAGTTCCACTCAGAGAAGGTATGGCTTGGTTCAGTGCAGTAGAGATCTCACAAATGATGGGTGCAGACAGTGTTTGGAGACCATGTTAGCGCAAGTTCCCAAATGCTGTGAACATAATTTGGGATGGCAAGTTTTGGCCGCAAGTTGTCTCATAAAGTATGATGATTATATTTTCTATCTTTTTCACACTCAACCATCTTCAGTTTCTGTGCCTGATACCCAAATAGGTGACACTTGAATTGCTTTTTCTTCTGATTTTTTTTACTTTGTTTGATCACTTAATCTAAAAAAATTGAATCCGGTTAAATCTTTAGAAACAATGTTTAGAAGATAATATGCTTCTTTTATACTGTTTGCAGCTAAAAAAAGGGGTGCTGGTAAAACAAGAATATTAATCATTGGCTTAAGTGTGCTGGGGGCAGTAGCTTTACTATGCTTCAGTGTCTATTGTTTATGGTTCAGGAATAGAAATAGAAGACAAAGAGGAAGAGGTAATTTCCTGAAATAATATATGCTAGAATTTGTTTGATATTAGCTTAATTCACATACTCAAATATGAACTTGGAAACTGTCTTCTCTGTAGGTGGTCGAATACCTGATACTATTCGTCCATCATCATATCACAATGTTCAAACGGAGGAAACACTGAATCCAGACCTACCTACTATTCCATTAATCACAATTCTTAAGAGTACTGATCACTTTTCAGACGAATCTAAGTTAGGAGAAGGTGGATTTGGCCCCGTTTACAAGGTTTTAGTACTGATTTGGACATTTGGATATAAATTGATTCTAATTTTATAATCATTCTATATGTTTGATATTTATTTCTATTTTTTTTTTATCAGGGAACTCTACCAGATGGAAGACAAATTGCGGTCAAAAGGCTCTCACAAACTTCTGGTCAAGGCTCCGAAGAGTTCAAAAATGAAGTAATGTTTATAGCTAAACTGCAACATCGCAACCTTGTAAGACTTTTGGCATGCTGCTTGGAGAACAATGAAAAGATACTTGTATATGAGTATTTGTCGAATGCAAGTCTCGACTTTCACCTGTTTGGTATGTTCTTAGTTAGCATCATTGAATATCATGGTAGCTGTTTTAGCTTTTGCTGCAATTTTTTCTCTAATATTTTATGAGTTATAAATTAGTGTTGTACGTCTATGGAGGAAAGTCAAATAGTGCTGCTATGAGCTTTAAAGTAGTTGGGAGTAAGGCGGAAATTTATTGCATACAGTTAGCAGCTAACTACAATAGTGTCGTACGTACGATATTTATATCTCTTGTTTACAAATCCTGTAAGAACAGCAGGTCATGATTATATAAATATATCTTTGATTAATTCCAAAAAACAAAAAATTATGAAAACCTCCTTAACTAGTACATTATGTGAAACTAAATTGAAGTTAATTATGATGTAATCTATAATCGTGTTATAAGATATATTGAAGATAAATTCAAGGGAAAAAGAGGCTATATCTAGAAAAGTTAGCGAATAAATAATTCTGGTGCATTTTTTTTTCCATATGAAGTCAACACTCGTTACAATTTGTAATTTTCCAGCTTCATTGAGTTTATATCCTTCATATATTGTTTTTGGTTGAGATTTCTTCCGTGTTTGTCTTCTCATCAGATGATAGAAAGAAAAGGCAACTGGATTGGAATATCAGATTAAGCATTATCAATGGCATTGCAAAAGGTCTTTTATACCTTCATGAGGACTCTCGACTCAAAGTTATTCATAGAGATCTTAAAGCTAGTAATGTTCTATTAGACGATGAAATGAATCCAAAAATATCAGATTTTGGATTAGCAAGGTCATTTGAAAAAGGCCAGAATCAGGCAAATACAAATCGAGTAATGGGTACTTAGTGAGTTCTACTTATACCAGACATTTCTTTAAGCAATAGGATTTATATAAATGCAATTTTAAGCACTTATTTGAAAAATGAAATTCTTTGTTATATATTCTCTAATGAAATAAAATTAACAAAGTTTTAATGATTTCTATCAGTGGATACATGGCTCCAGAGTATGCTATGGAAGGGTTATTTTCAGTGAAATCCGATACTTTCAGCTTTGGAGTTCTTGTTCTAGAAATCATTTGTGGGAAAAAGAATAGTGGATTCTATCTATCAGAATGTGGTCAAAGTCTTACATTATATGTGAGTTTTCACTCCTACCTAGCAAGACATTATTCAACAACGTTAATTAGAGTCATGGTTCTAAATTGCAATTGTAACCAATTCAATTGTGGCTGTTGTGATGTAGATTGTGGTTGTTGCATTGTGAAATTATTAGATATTTGCATCAAATATAAATAAATAATTCTATAAAAAAAAATTAATAAAATCTCTTTTTCTTTATTTTTTTTTCAAATCCCTTTCTCCCTTTTATAAAATGTATGATGCACCTCCCAACACTCCAACCAATTATTATTTATTGTCTTTCTCTTTCTCTTCCCATGTGACCAAATTTATAAGATTAAAAGATTTTTTTTTTGAAGCAATAAGATTAAAAGATTAAAACTTGAATTTATGCATATGTTTTGACACAAAAATGGAATAAAATATTGTTATGTATCTATTGTGATTGTGTTGTAGTTATATGCAGTTGCATTGATAAATTTTCACTGTTTTAAAATTATATTGCAATTGTGGGTTTTTCTGATTGCAATGAACACCACAACAGCAATATTACGACCGTAATTGCGGTTGCGGACCGTAATTTAAAACCATGATATTTAAAGCTAATCAATATTCAAAAAATCACAATTACTTGCAGGCTTGGAAAATATGGTGTGCAGGAAAATGTTTGGAACTAATGGATCCAGTGCTGGAGGAATCTTACATAGAGAGTGAAGTTGTGAAATGCATACACATTGGTCTGTTATGTGTTCAAGAAGATGCAGCAGATAGACCAACCATGTCCACTGTTGTTGTAATGCTAGCAAGTGACACAATGGCCCTTCCAAAACCTAACCAGCCAGCATTTTCGGTTGGAAGAATGACCTATGAGGATGCATCTACATCGAAAAGTTCCAAGAGTCTTTCCATTAATGATGTAACTGTCTCAAACATTTTACCAAGGTGATGGAAACTTGGATACAAATCTCTTTTCCTTTGCTGCTTTGAATGACGTACGATAAGACTAGAAGACCAAATGACCATAAATTGAAGACTTCCCAGCTTTCTGGAATTAGACCAATATGCTGACTCCTTGACAGCTCTATGCTGCTTTGGAAATAAGACAAAATCTTTGCCATTGTAATAAGTCTTCTAACAAGTAACATAATGAAGAGCCTCTCGCAAATTTGTACACTTTGTTGGTATATTCTCTGACTAATTATTATATCACTAGTAGAAAAGTATCATTTTCTTGTAAATTTTTCTACAAAAAAATATTCTCTGAAATTTTTTGCGAATTTTCTTGCAATAATAATTTCACAAATTTCTTTTACGAATTATTTGCGAAAAATAATTTACAGATATTTCTTACAAAATTTTTTATGAAAAATAATCTACAATAAATTTTTGCAAATTTTGCTACAATTTTAATGATCATAGTAATTTTTTTCCATGGTAAAAATTTGCAAAAAAATATTGTAAGAATTTTATTTTGTTTCTTGTAGATTTTCTTGCAAAAATAAATTCGCAAGTAATGTTTACTAAATGGTAGAAAAATTTCGCAGGTAACTTTTCCTACAGATTTTCCTTCCAATTAATTTTAATCCGCAAGAAAAATCAAAAAAATATTTAAATTTTTAAGTTTAATATTTTAGAAAAACTTTAAGTCTCACATCAATTGAAAATAAAACAATTGAAGAGTACATAAGTTGGGGCAACACTTATCTTATAAGTTGATTTGTATGGTTGAGTGTTAGACTTATAATCTACAATCTTAGAGTTTAAAAGATTATGTATCACATGTTGGAAACGTGGAAACAAATGCTTCAGATCAATTCATTGTGAGCATTTGAAAGTTAAAGAATTATTGATAGAATTTGTAGTAATTTCTTTGATTTTTTTTCGTAGGAAACTTTCCTGCGAATTTTTTTTGCATGAAAGTTTCCTGCAAATTTTTTTCGCAAAAAATTTTGCAGGAAAAATTCTTGGGAATTTTAAAATTCGCAAAAACATTTATCCATGAAGGTATTACCTGCAAATAAAATTTCGCAGAAAAATTCGTAGGAATAAGTTTGTTGCAAATTTTAATAAAAAATTCGCGAGAAAAATCGCATGTAATAAGAGAAATTCTAGTAGTGTATATAATGTTTAACGGCGATATACTTTTTTTAGTGTAGTGAAGTTTTATAATGACATTATTCAATCATATTGCATCATTAATGATACTCCCTCCGTTTTTTATTCATAGTCGTTTTGACATTATTTTTTTGTTTTTTTTTCATTGTCATTTTTCTAAAACTAATGACTTATTAATTTTATTTTTTATTTTTATCCTTGATAATTAATGTATGTTTACTAAAGAATGTGCTTATTCATTTTTAATGTACCTATTTCTTCTCCAACCACCTAAAAGATATAACAGAAAAATAAATAATAAATACTTTGAAAAACTAAAATATCTATCATTTTCTTAATTCTTGTATATAAACCTTAAACGTAAAAAAAAAAAAAAACAGAGGAAGTAAATTTAATTATTAACTTTTACAATAATTACTTTAAAAATTATACAATCTGTGATTGTTGATTGGTTGATTCTATAAAACAATTTAATTAAAAATATTTAGAGTGTATGACCTATAAATTCTTTTTAAAATTAATTAAAAACATCTTATTTTACTTAACTAGGTTTTCACTATTTGAATTGTAATTTAAAAGATTAATATGAGTAAATTTTTACAAATTAACTTATATATAAATTAATTTTATTTTATAATTATTTTTTTCGTATTCTCTTGTTCCTATACGTGTTTTGGGGAAATTTTGCTAAACATGTTTTTCTGTTCACAATTTACTCTTGAGTGACAATGGCTTATTTTGTTTATTGCAGTACTGTGGTCCCATCAGCAGCCCCTTGTTTTAATTTCTATGAGCACAAAGCGGTGCTATAATGCATGCGCTAGTACATATTCTCAACACCCAAAAAAAAAAAAAAAAAAAAGTTCTAACATTTTGTGTAAATGTGAAATAGATAAAAAGAAAATTATGTATTATTGAAGGCAGCGCATTAGGTAATTCAATAACTTGGCTTATTTTAATTTTTGCTTTGCTATTGCTAGATATATATGTGATGACAACTGTATTTGTGTTTTCTTTAATATATTTCAGCAGGGTGGATATATGTCTTTATGTTTGCGTGTCGGTCTGTGAAGTTCGTGATTTGCGTGGTTAATGATTTATTTTTTTAAAATTTATATAATTATAGAAAAATTAAGTTTAGTCTGTGAAGCTTGCAAATTTTATGGGTTGTATAATGATGTGTTTAGATAAGAAATTTTACAAATTCAAGGAATTTTAAATTCTTGGTATTTGAATTACTTTGATTTCAATTTCTATCATTGTTAAAATATTTTGTTTGGATAAGTCAATTCAAATTTCTCAAGTTTTAAATTGTTAGGTTGGATATGATAATTTGATTCCACCATGATAAAATTGATTTTAAAAATATATTTATATGTTGAGATTTTTAAATTAAATTTTAAAAAATAAATATTAGCTAATTTTTAAATATTTAATAATTTTAAAAACTAATAGTAGATAATATTTAATAATTTTAAATATATTTTTGAATATTCAATAATTAAAAACATGAAGAGATAAGAGATAAGATAAAATATATAAGTGAAATAAGAAGATAAAAGTATGAGGAATTTCAAATTCTTACTCTTTTGAGAGAATTTGAAATTCTACTATTTCAAGGAATTTTACAAATGCTTGAATTTCAAATTCCTTATAAATTCCTCATCCAAACAAGATATTTTACCTCAAAGAAATTGAAATTCTTCAAATAAATGAATTACTCCATGTAAATTCTCCATTCAAACACACTATAAGCCAATTCTGTGGGCCAATCCTTTTATGAGAGATTTTTTTTTTCTTATGAATTTATGAGAAAATTTAAATAATGAGTTATTTTAGTATTTTGAAGTCGTTTCCTTTTTTGGTTTTACGTGAGTTTTTTTTGGCATGTTTGACAGGGTTTTCATCGGGACGGATGTAGAAATTCATGAAAGGAGGATCCGAAGGAAATAAAGTTTAATAATAAATATTAAATAAAAATTAAATTATAAAAGGTAAAAGTTATAGAGAAAAGTATAAAAGGTGCTTTTTTTTTATGTTAACATGCAATATAGAGGTGTTTAAATTGCTAAATTGAACTAAATTAGAAGAAAATTAAACTAAACTAAACTATAATACATAGTTCACCAAACTGAATTGAACTAAAATAAATATTGACTAAACTGAACTAAACTATTATCTACTTTTTCGGAAATTCGTCGGAAATACTTTATTCTGTTGGAAATTTACTTGTTTCTATCATAAATTTCCGTTGAAAATTAGCATTTTTCTTGTAATGAGAGTAGCAACAATGATGAACAGTAAGCAACGAATGTAAAGGACAACAACAACGAAAAAAGTGACAGACAACAACGGTGACGAATAAGGGAAGACGACAACTACAAATACAAGCGAGAATAAAGAACGCAATAACTGTGGCACAAGGCAGACAAAGGGAGACAATCAAATGATTAAAAGTGATAACATTATTTATAAAAATGATACTGTGTCACTTTTAAGATGGGTTCTTTCTAACCGATTTTACAACCCTGATTTTAAAAATATTTTTTCCACTAGTGGTCATTAAGCATCTCAACTATTATATATCCTGACCCCATAAGTTCAAAAGTCATGAATTTTGATTCCATTGTAGACCTTGCAATATATGTTTGTTAATGTTAATTATTTCCAAGAAATTAATAACATCAACTCCTAAAGTGAATATGTATTCACTAGTAGAACTTACTTCACTATTGTCTGAAATCCAATTTGCATCACAAATCCTTCTAAGATAATTGAAAAAATATAAACTCCAATTCATAATAGCTTTAGATGCCTTATTAGGCTCAAAATGACATTTCAATAATCATTATTGGGATTACACTACTAGAAAAGTATTATTTAACATTGTTATATCTACATTGTTTTAATAAAAACAATGTAAATGAAAAATGTGGTGATAATTTTGTAAATAAATAGAAGATGTAAATATATTTACATCAGTTTTATGGAGAAACGATGTAGATATAAAGAATTCTACATCGGTTTTATGATTGACCGATGTAGAAATGAAATGATAAAGTTATTTTACATCGGGTTTAATTTTGACTGATGTAGAAGTGAAGGCCAAATCTTCGAAGTGACAAACCCTTTCGACATCTCAAAACTCTCGGGTGGGCGCTCTTCTCTTGTATGCGGACGGGAGCTCTCATGGGCGCTCTTTTCTTTCGACCTTTGACAACCATAAGGAGTTCTCCCTCTAGACATTTCAATACTCTTGCGGGCACTCTCCTATTGTTGACCTTCGACAACCCCGGAGGAGCGTGCTAGAAACATGGTGGTGCTCGTGTGAGTTTGTCGTCGAAGAGAAGACCAAAAGATTCGTAAGTTTACTTGAAAACTATTTTGGAATTTGTCAAAACTTGCTATAGTATCCGATATATTTTGTTTAGGGTTTAGGGTTGCAACAGACCCACCATTCAAGCCTTACCGGAGAGTCTTGCCGGTGACACACCTTAAATTCCCGCTGCCAAAAAAGCTTCCGACTTTGGATGATGCGGAAGCAGATACCATCAACATGATTTATGGGTCTGACAAGGTGGTGGTGATGATTACCAATTTAGAGCCTTTCTTTGTGAGAACACTCATCGTGCTTTCTCTTTCTCACCATTCCTTCATGCTATCTCTTTCTTGTTAGAAAATAATGGCTCAATCCAAGAGGGGGGGTGAATTAGATTCTATGACACTTAAAATTTTTTCAGAGTTCTAAGGATCTTTATTTCAACTTAAACTTTTCTAATATGAATTCTCAAAGAAGTTCCTTGAAAGACTTGCTAATGGGAATGAGTCCTATATGCTTTCTTGATTAATCTTGATAAAGCTCAATGTTAAGAACACTTAATATGCAACACTTTGATTCAGTTTAAAGCAATATTGTGCATACAAACATATTAATCAAGATTATTCACTTTAACACTGGACCAAGATTTTGCTCAAAGTAAAAGATAAGGGTGAGAGAGAAGAATGCACAAGTCTTTTATCCTGATTCAACCACTCCACTGTGACCTACATCCAGTCCT